AAAAGGACTAACATAGTGTGGTATACACCATACAGCAGAACAGTACACAGCAATAAAGGAGAACAAACTAGTGATAAACACAAAAATTATACATAAATTTTACAGACTTGATTCTGAGTGTAAGATGCCAAACTCAAAGACTAAAAGTTTTGTGATTCTATTTATAAAGTTCTCGAACAGACGTAACTAACCTAAGGTGAAAATAATCAAAGCAGTGACTGTTAGGGTAGGTAATGTCCAAGAAGGCAGGCAATGGAGATTTCTGAACGGACAGAAATAGTCTATGTATCAAGATGGTTCTGAAGTTACAAGACATCATCTGTTCATCCAAATTATATAGCTATAACTTGTACATTTCAACCATGCATGTTAACTGTAAAATATAACTCTAAGAGTACATTATTTGTGGGGTAGAGCATAACCGGGGGTAGGAATTAAATATTTACAGAAAATTGATGAGTTGAAACTGTCAGGTAGGCCGACGAGGTTTGTTATTCTGTTTACATTCTATATACTTGTTATTTTTTAAGAATTAAAAAGTTAGTATAGGTAAATAAATAAATTGCCACGTACCTGCCTTCTGGAAGAAACACAATTCTTGGTTGTTGATTCAAGTGTTGCTGCTGATGCTAACAATAAGGTTGATAAAGATGATAATGATGCTATTCTACCCAGTTAACATATATTGTACATTAGATACTATGCTCATTATATTGTGATGGATAAGACAAGCACAATCGTTGCCTCCATCACTTTACTGAAGTATAGAGAAAAATGAATAAGGAAATAGAATATACAGTTATATAACTATAAACTGTAGTGACTTATTTTAAAACGGTTTTGTAATATAGAACATTGATTTGGCACTTACTGCATGCTAGATATTGTGCTGACCACTTTTAAATGATTCCCTCAAGAATAGGTAGTATTACCTCACTTACATATAAGGGGAGTGAAAATTATACTCTCACAACTAATATGTGGCAGAGCATCATGCACTTACGTTGCTCTCTCATTAACACCTGATCTAATAATCAGTATCTGTTCTAAACCAAAGTTTGAGTGGGGTTAGTAACGGAGAGTTTGAGAATGGCAGATGCTGGGACTTAATTGTCCCATAAGGAGCTTGTCTGACTTCATTATCACTGTGTCACAACCAGCTAAGTCCATCCATAAGAAGGTTATGTAGGATATAATAACGTTCTCCTTGTTTCCCTCATGTCCCGCCATCCAGTCATTTTCCACACAAGAGCCAACTCCTCAAGACCGTCCCTCAGCCTCACATTCTACTCAGAGGAAAAAAGAAACATTCTGAGAAAAGGCCTCTACCACTTAGCCTCTGGTTCCAGTCCCTATGGTCTCCTGTGTTCGTCCCCAAACAAGCCAGGCTGTCCCAACCGTAAACTCTTTGCACTTTCTTCTCCCTCTGCCTAGAATTCCCTTTTCCCAAGTTCACACATGGCCTTCTCCCTCAGGACCTCCAAAGAGCTCAGGAGGACTTCTCTCCCCAGCCTACCTAAAACAACACCCCATTTATCTCTCTCTCCTTTACCCGTGTCATTTTTCTTCTCAACATTTATGCCACCTGATACATGCTGTATCTGTCAACATCCGCACGCAGTGAATGGCTGTCTCATCAGACAGTGCAGTCTTACCCTAACCAGGGTGGCGGCGAGAAGAAAAAATGACGCCTGCCGATGAGGCAGAAGGAAAGGCAGAAAAGTGTACAGTCTCAGAGCTGAGGCCGAGGAGGGACGAGAACTAGTGGAGCAGGAGGGGTGAAAGCCAGGCTACAGGCTGTGAAAGTACAAGCAGAATGAAGTTTTTAGAAGTAAACCATCACGTTGAGCATAGTTACAGTATCTACATTATGAGAATAAGACAGAAAATGCTAGTCAAGATAAGAAACATCAAACAAACAGGTTCCTAATTAATAAAAGTCGTAATAGTTTTTATAGGCCTTAGACTGAGGTGAATATTGTAGCATGTCAACTACCACATAAAACAAGATCTTAACTGTGGAAGATTTTATAACTCCGATGATGCTTTGTAGTCTATATTCAACAAACAATTTACAAAATTGTGGCAAGTCACTTAAATTCTACACCTCTGAATTTAAAATAATAATTGATATACATTTCAAAATAAAAGTACAGTTATATTCTCCTTTGCCAAAAAAAAAGAATGTCAAACTACCATATATATCATTCATCCCCAGAAACTAGTACATAATATACATCTACCTTCAATGTAACTATACATCTTTTTTAATAATACATTTTCCCCCTTAAAAACATATATAAGGAAAACTTCCAGAAAGTTATTTCCCATACTTTTTATATCAAGGTAAAATTGACAACAATGTATTAGTTTTGGGTGTAAACATAATGAATATATATATATATTTATATATATAAAATCATCAAAATAAGTCTAATTAACACTGTCACCATATATACATCTATACCATACACCAAATTTTTTTAGACTGTAGTCTACATTTGTAGTAAGTATATGAAAAACCTCTGTTCTAAAGTTGGCATAGTTTACAACAGAAAGACAATTTAATTTTCAATTCTAGCAATTCAAATGATATTTTAGAGTGAAATATTTTGCCTTTTCATGTCTTCCTTCATGCTTCATCACTGCTGAATTTTAAAAAATGTTAACAATGTTGAGGACCAAAAAAAAATCTAGGGATGACCGTCTTTAGATATTGATAATAGTACCTGCCATTTTCAAAGCACTTTGTGATCTACACAGCTCTCTAATATAGATTGTCTCTTTTAATTATCACATCACTCCCCAGGAGTTAATAATATTATGTATAATTACTCCCAGTTTAACAATAAGAAAGCTGAGTTAATAAGTAGCAGAATATTGGAAGCTATGTATTTGAACTTTAAGTTCAAAACTCTTTCCAAGCAACTCTCCCCTAGATAAATGTTAAGCTTATAGTTTTATGATCTGATTTTTCTAGATATATCATTAAATACTTCCAGTATAATCAAGATAATAGATAACAAATCTTGCTTTAAGAAATAGGCTTAATCCTACATACAAAAACTTCAGGGTAAATTCCATAATGGAAATCCCATGTTTATCACTGACTCCTACTGGAAAAATATCTTCACAAGTCAAATTTTAAAACCTATGTGATGAAACATTACAACTTGGGGCAAACTTGTGACATAACAGATATAGTTTATGGATTTTTTTAAACAAATTTCATTCTCCATTTTCTGAGAATGTCTCCTGTAGAATTAGGCTGCAGGGACGCACTTCACCAAGATGTACTGTGAAAAGATGATGAGCTTAATATTCATTCAATGATGTAAATATTAGGCATCTACCAAGGGCCAATCATCTTTTCTCCAAATTTTCTACATCAGGTAGATTAAAGCAAATAGATATTTTCCTTTTCTAATTTGTTCAAGTTTATCAAATAAGATAGATTTGAGAGATTGCCATAAGTTGTTTAACCAAAACTGTATCTTAGTAATAGTTTAATTTGTAAACAGTAATCTAATAATTTAGCAAACATAAACAAGGGACAGATTTAATTTTAGTGATATCTGTTTTAACCTTGGTTTCTTTTAACATTACATTAATAATTTCATTGCTAATAGTTTATATGGTGATTATAATTATAAATATAAACAACCAATAATCAACAATGATTATTTAATACCACTGAGGTAAAACTCATTTCACAAAGTGGCTCTATTCAAAGAAAATGAGCTAACTCAAGCAATAATTCAAAGGATTCAGGAACTGAAACAGTATGCCAGGCAGCACTCTGAAAAATTTGCTGTGTCAAATTCCCAGTGCTTCCATTAGGTGTCTATCCAAAATCATAGGGAGCATCAGGGCCAACAGCACAAATCACTTCTGAGAAATGGAACCGAGAATAGACAGAATGCTGGTTCTAGTAACATATTATTCTGTGGATCATCATACACTTCTATCTAAAATGTAAAATGCCAAATAGTACATCCACAGATAATATTAAATTCATATAACTTGAAAAAACATTTCTATAAGTGTATACAGAACTGAATAAATGACCTTACAAATTATCTCTTATTTACCACCACCTTTTAAAATTAGGAGCTTATGTTAAGTGATTCCTTCTGTACACAATACAAAGTCTTATTTCGTTAAAGGTAAACTTTTTTATAAAGATCTTAAAAATATTATGTTCCTATATGGTATTTTGGTTTATCTAATTTTTTTGTTCCAATATGATTCTTTTACAAAGAAAGCCCTTCTTTAAATATGTTTAATAAAAATTAATGAACAAAACTTGAACTGTCTTTACTCAATATATAAGCATTGATTTTCCATCTAACATTGTCTTAGATGAGTAGATTTACACAGGTCAACACATTCACATAGTTGTCTTTGCCAGAATAACACTGTTTATTTAAATTTATTCACCCAAAACTGCATGTCTCTCATTAATTTTAGAAAAAAAAGAAAGAGAGAAAGATGCGGAGAGATCTGGCCTTTGTTAAGTTTCTTCTCTATGGATAAACTCATGCTAGAAAATTCCTAAATAAGTTTCCTTTGGGGAATTTTCAAATACTAAAATTCTTCTACCAGAAATACAATAGCTTCTTCATTCCTCTCTGCTTTCAATAATTTTATTATTATTTCAGCAGTTAGCTTATCCTCACAGGGGAAAATCTGACAAACCATGAAAAGATTATCAAAATACATATGGAAGTGAAAGTTATATAACAAATTAACCATCTCCTACACAACCCCCTGCATTCCTCTCCAGTTGATGAGTTGCACTTGTGAATGTTCTGGTCCCAGGTCCAATTAATTTGCCAGTGAAGCCTTTCATATTCTTTCCAACTAAAACTTAAATATAATTCAGTTCTCCAGAATTAAAGTTCTGGTACATTAACCACCCTCCACATGTTAGTCTCATTTAACTCTTTATTTTTATTTAGTCCAAAATAAAGAAAAAAGTCAATTAAAAACTAACATACTCAGCTGCCTGTTTGTAGTGCTTTAAGTCTTTCTTCAAATTTTTGTTTTCATTTTCTAACAGCATGTTCTGGATATACACATCTGGGACATTCCCAACACCGCTGACTTCAGTTACTCCCTTCTGTATTAATTCGTACCTAGAATAAAATGAAACAAAAAGCTTTATGTTGTTTCTTTCTTCTTAATTTGATTAATTTATGTACAACTCAAAAATTCAAATGTTTATATAAATTAGTTTACAATATTGCTTGTATAAATTATCAACGTTTATAATTTTTTTAAAGAATAATTAATGATCAGGTACTAATATCATGGTGCATAAAATATAACTGAACATCTGCTATGTTTTATGCACTAATGTAGATACCGGTGAAATTAACAAAATGGTTCAAGTCTATTTAATGGTGTTTACGAAGTTTTCATTCTAGTGTGGATGGTGACATGTTCTGTAGGACGCAAAATAAAGCAGGGTGGCAGGGGGGAGACTGAAGTGGAAAGTGACAGAGGTGTTGGCACTGTTTTGTGTAGGATGGCCAGAGAAAGTACGACTGACCAAGTAATATTTGAGCAAGGAACTGAAGGAAATGAGGGAATAAGCCATGTGAAAAGTGCGAGAAGAGCATTCTTAGCTGCTAGAACAGCGAATGTGAAGGCCCTGAAACAAGGAAGTGCTTGGCATATAAAATATAATGAGCTAAAAGCCAGTATATCGAGAGTATCTGGAGATGGAGCCGACAAACTGAGCAAGAAAAGAGTGGTGAGAGATGGGTCAAGAAAACTGCAGGGAGCCAGAGGGAAGAACTTGATTTTACTCTGAACTGGACTGAAGTCACAGGCAGGCTTTGGGAGATCAGTGCCACTGATCAGATTTGTGTGTTGAAGAGATTTGTCTGGTATCTGTTTAAAGAAACTCTAGAGGAGCAAGAACAGAGTCAGAGACTAGTTTGGAGGCTGCTGCGATAGTCCAGGAGAGAGAGAGAGAATGGTGGCAGGGACAAAATGGGTAGCAGCAGACATGACAAATGGGTCCCTTCTGGACGTACTTGTAAAGGTGGAGCCAACAGGATTTTAATATAGATCAGCTGTCAGGTATTGATTAAAAAGAGAATTCAAGGATGACTCCAAGGTTTTGGGGTGAGCAACAGACAGCCATTTACTGAGATGGGGACAAACGCAGTAGAAATTGGGTGGTTAAAGAAATCAGGGAATTGTTGCTATTCATGTTAATTGCAATATGTAAAGAGAGAAGTGAAGAGGCCTAGGACTGTTTTAAAGAATGGGGGAAAAGGAAATACTACTAACTAGAGACTAAAAAAAGAGAGGAAGCAGTGCATGAGAGTTATGGCTCAGGGACCAAGTGATAAAGTGTTGTAAGAAGAAATGAATGACAGTAACAAACACCACACGGAGAGTTGGTAAGGTGAAGTCACTGAAAAAAGTTTGAGAGTCATGGGATAGAAAGTGGAACTAGATGCATCAGAGAGTTGAAAAGGAGGACACAGTAACACACTTTTCCAAGGAGAAATGATTTAAATTAGAGCCGAGAAATCAAGATGGACCTAGAAAAGGATATGGAGTTCAGAGTACTTTTTTATTTCTTCTTTCTTTTAATATAGGACATATTATTGCACTTCTGTATGTTTATGAGAATGATGTAGTAGGAAGGGGAAAAGTTTACATGCAGGATAGAAAGGGGACAATTGCACGAGCAATGTCCTTGAGGAGGCCAGAGGAGCTGGCATCCAGCAAAGAGGAGTGGCCTTAGGTGACAGCATGTATGGCGCAGCCCTGTGACAGGTCCGAGGGAAAGCCTGAGGACAGAGGCAGCAGGCTGCTGGAGAGGGAAGCAGGAGTCGGGGCACTTCTATTTTCTCAGTGAAATGACAAGGAACATGAGAGAATCATTTACAGATTTGTAAACAGTTACAATTTGAATCATTCTACATAGAAATCAACAAAACTGAATATAAAACACAGCATAAAAAACATTTCAAGTAATAAAGTTATTAATAAATACCCACAAAGCTTGCTTTGAATGGGCTAAACATTAGTTTTAAAATGTTTAATTACCAGTATTTTCATATCACAAATCTTTATTTTACTACACATTAATAGTCATATGTTTTTATGTTAACCATTTATTTGAAATTTTGTAAAAAATCAACAGAGGCCCTGCATACTATTCACAAGGTTAAGATAGTTGAATCACTATTAGGTAATATTTGCCACAATTTCTAAAACAGCAAATAGATAAGCATTTAATCATAAATTCACTATTTTATCCATATTTGAAATGTGATTTATACTTATCTCAGAAGAAAAGGCATATGGATTGATAGAAGAACTGGACCATAAAGTTTTTCTGAGCATAAAATTGGTTTCCAGCAACTTGCTTTATTTAATGCAGAAAAAAATCACTACAGAAATTATTTCAATAAGAAAAACAATTATAGAGCACCCTTCTCTAAATTAAATGCTATGCAAATGAATATGGTAAAATAAGTAAAAATCAAACGACACAACTAATACATATTACAATATATATATCTTAGGATATTCAAAAGTCACTTATCAACCAAAAATTATGCCATCCATACAAAAATACCAAACATGACTTTAAACTCATTAAAACTATTAAAATACTATAAATTAATTGCAAAATTTAATATACAAACTCTAGAAATATATTTCTCAATAAAATCTACATTTTCCTACATAAGATTTTTTGGTTTTGTCTGAGGTGTATCTGTGTGTGTATTTTAAAGAAATATCCTGGTCTTTATTCCTTCCTCCTTAGTCACTTACCATTAAAATAAAAAACTTTTCACATGGGGAAAAAAGACTGTCATGTAAGTATTAGAACTGAAAATAAAATACTACCAATAGAACTGCCAATGAATTACTGCCAATAAATTTACATTAATGTTCTTCATATTCACCATCAGTTCAATTCACCATATGATTCACTATAAATCAATTATAATGATATAGAAATAAATACATATATTTCATGGAGAAAATGCATAAACTTTCATAAGATGTGTATATATACCAAAAGAGTTTAACACCCACTGCCACATGTAATGACTATTATGAATAGAATTTCAGTGAATGTATAAATGGTGCAATAAGAGTAAGCATTATTTTTCCTTTATGCATAAAGCACAGGATATAAAAGCCACAAAAACAGTCATCTAGATAATAAGCATCAAATGAGAATCTTTCCTCCATGTTTACAAAGAGAATTAGGGATATATTTCACCAATCAAGACAAAATTCCCTTAATTATTGCCAAAACTGAGGCTGTTGGAATGCCCAGCACCCTCATGACATCATTGTAGAAGCACAAAGTCCTTCCCAAGAAAGATACAAAATGGCTGAACAAGTTTAGTACTGGTCCCATGATTCTTCAGGCTAATAGGGAAAACAAGTACAAATTTGGAGTCTAAATCAAAATACTCCTTTAGTGATATTTTTTCAAGATGCCTTGTACAATTCCACAATTCAGCAGGGTGGGGGGGAGAGGAGTTGACTGCCACTTACTGGCTGTGACTGGCTGCCACTAACCAAGACTTCCTAACCTCTCTAAACCCATTTCTTCATCCACATCATGGAGATATGATAGTGGCTTCCTGCTATATACCATTGTTGGAAGAAGTAAATGCGAAAAAGCATGAAAACATACTGAACTAAAGAAAATGATACAAAGTTCATTCCTGAGTGATAAACCTTAGGCTTCATCTTCTTAAATATTTTTAACTTTTTCATATTTAATGAGCACTATTAGTTTTGGTTACAAAGCATATGTTAAGTATTCATCTACAAGCCTGCTTTCTTGAAAACATAGTACAGAAATAAATCTCTGCATATATATTTACAGAGCTCAAATTTAACATATCGTAGCACAGTAAAAATTAGCATGATAGAATAATCACAACATTTCCGTGTTTAACTTAATCCTGGTTGGAGAAAAACATTAGTACAACATGACACCTAACCAGAAGTCAAATCCTAAACAACTGAAAAAACAGCTATAGTTTAAATGACGAAGGAACAAAAACTAATTGTATAATAATCATTGAGACAGTAATATACACGCGGCACCATATATACTTCCCACACATACTGGGCAACATAAGGTTTAATTTTAGTTCTAGGCTCTGGCTTTCAACCTAACCATTCCCAGAAAGTTTTAACTATACTGCCCAGGTTTGAGTAATTATACAAATTATGCCAAATTTTATTGGCTAAAGGCAGTAATATTTATCTTTTTAGAAAATGACTGGACTATACTACTACAAAATTTATAATTTCTTCTATAATTAATAAAAATTAAATTAGCAATAAAATATCATAAATAACTTTACTATTACCTGTAATGGCATTTTTATTACCACCCAACCTTTAGCAGAGGCCAAACTGGAGATAACCAAGGATAAAGAGGAAGTGAAAGAGTAAAGAAAGAAAGAAAAATAAAGACCTTTGTTTTCAAAACATTTTATAATGGGAAGAAGAGTTAGAGAGAACAAGAGGTATCATAAGAGGGAAAGGCAAAGCAGAGCTTTCTGGTGAATAAGTTTTGACTGCGTTAACAGAGAGCGAAATGGTCCTGCGGAGTCAGGTGTTGATTACCGTATGCTCAGGTGAGGGTGCTTCGAGTGTACTACTACTCTGTCCATTTTAACCCCCTCTTCATCTTTGCCTTCAGGGAAATTATCATTGCGGAGTACTTCTAAAGAGATATACTATATATAACATAAACCCGCACATATATATGTATATAATCTTTTATTTTTTGTAAACAGCCAGGAAAAAAATTTTAAAAAGCTTTCTTGGCCATATGGTCTCTGTTGTGGCTAATTAACTTTGCTGTTATAGTGTGGAAGCAGCCACAGACAATAACTTAAAAAAAAAGGTCATACCTCTGTTCCAATAAAATTTTATTTACAAAAACAAAAGGCAGGCTGGAGTTGGCCCAAGGGTATGTTTGTTGACCCCAGATTTAAAGGATTTACTTCTATTACTGTTTGAGGATTGAAAGGACATTAGTCAAATATCACTACCCAGGATTTTGGGGTTGGGTTTTTTGTTTGTTTGTTTGTTTGTTTGTTTGTTTGTTCTATAATCTAACAACAACGGAAAAGCCTTGTTTTAAAGAACTCATAGCAATTATATGTTTTTTCTCCATAATAAAAATGATAAAAGTAATATATTTAATATTCCTATAATCCTACTATGCAGAATATATAAAGGTTTCTGATCAAAGTAAAAACTGTTTCATGTGAATAAAAGGGTCCAATACAGTGTAACCTCAGTACAAACAATTTGCAGTCTCATTACAGACTGGCCCCCTGGGATAAGGATAAAATTATTTGAACCACAGTATCACTAAAGCCATATATTAGGATGTTTTATACAAATTTTACTTTATGATTGTAATATTATGCTAAAAGGTATGCTTAGTGTTCTAAAATTCCTACCACAATTGCAGTTTCCTAAAATTTCATCTCAATTCAAACTGCTAAATGTGAAAATATGACAAGTATCTATTTAAGAGTATACTGGTTCCACGTTTCTCCATGGAAATCATTTAACACTTTAGACTGAACAAACATGTGAGCACTGCATGTCCTAACACATATTCTCAGAAAAATAAGAGGTGACTGAACCACATTAATCTTTCATTTCATTAGTACTACAAATTAATCATCTATCTACTTTTACAAAAATGTATTTGGAATGCATTTGTAAATATTTTAGGGACATTTTCATAAAAATCATTTACACAATTTTCAGATTTCATAAGAACAGTATTATTTTACTGCCATCAAACTTGCTCTTTTTCCTAAACTATAATAATAAAAATGTATTATTTTATAATACACTTTAATGTATTAACATTAGAGATGCAATTTAAAATACTAAAACTGATTTCTTCTATCTGCATGGTCCAAGTAGATGAGAACCAAAAAAAAAGAAAAAAATAAGAATTACACCATAGCTGGATTAGTAAAAATTACAACCTGACCCTTTATTCAAAATTAGGATTATCCAAAAAGCATTATAAGCATCTTTATATATCATATAATTCCCTCTTTCTATAATATGCAATGGTTTTTAAAGATCAAACATTTTCATATCTGATCATTTAATAACATTTCATTAGCCCTGGTTGGTATGGCTCAGTGGACTGAGTGCCAGCCTGCTAACAAAAGGGTCACCAGTTCGATTCCCAGTCTAGGGCACATGCCTGGGTTGCAGGCCAGGTCCTCCGTGGGGGACATGCGAGAGGCAACCACACATTGATGTTTCTCTCCCTCTCTTTCTCCCTTGCATCTCCTCTCTAGAAATAAATGGGTAAAATCTTTAAAAAATAATAATAATATTTCATTAAAGAATGTTAAGACTCTGAAAACAGGCCTGGCGACATAACTGAGGTAGCAAAGGAATAAACACAACATACCTGCTGATGTTTATAACCAATGAGTTATTAACATTTTCAATTATAACAAAAAAAAACCTTGTATTTAGATACCATTTGAAAAATTTTCCACTTCCTTCTATTTCTGCATGAAAAACAATTTATAGAAAAAGAGAATCAATCATTTGTGTGAGTAGAGGAAGGCAGGCCATTCCACAACAAGTAAAACAAGTAAAGTAGTGCTATCGGTAGGATTTCATAATGCAGGAAATAATACCCTTACCAATTCTGCAGAAAATATTAGGAAAAGCATGTCATAAAGTAGCTTTGAATTACATTATATTACTCCAGGACATATTCCATTTTCTTGACTTGAAAATTACCTAATTTTGAGTATTTCAGAAATATGTTTAATATAAATTTATTTGAAACTGATATCCTGATTATGTGCATTTGTGTGTTTACATGGGTGTATTTGGGGGGGGAGGCAGAGTGTAGTGGTTTTGGTAGTGGGATGGGAAAGGTTTCCATCCATTTCATCCATTTTGCATAAATTGGGTGATTTCCATATTTTAAGAGGGTTAAAGTATACATATGAAATATTGTTAGCACTTCTATAAAACTATTTATCTACATAATTGTTTACCATTCAGATTGAAAGCAATCAAGGGTTCGGGTCATTCCCATTTTGATTAGGAAATTGCAGAGAAAGTCTTCAATTACTTCTGGTACTTCATGCTTTGAAGGAAGGACTGTTTTCTGCTCCTGAAATTTAAATGTGCAATTAATTATTTTGAAAATATCAAATTTTTGATTAATAGCATTGAGTCATTCACTCATTTGTTCATTTTTTTCAACTATTTTTGTTGAGATGGAAGATAACTGAAGGATGATCAGTAGGGATAAAGCAGTGATAAAAACAGACGAGACTCAGTCCTCACAGCTAATAGCCAAGTGAATGAAGACAGAAATGAATAACCACTGTAAAAATACATAGTATGGAAGATGGTACCGAGTGTCTGCATTAAAAAAGCAGAGGATTAAAACCTGGGAGAGCCAAGTCTAGGGCAAAAATGTGTGTGGACCCTGGATGCCACATACGTACCCTGATGAAGGAAGACTTCATTGATAAAGCAGTATCTGAGCAGGTACCTAGAGAAGAGGTTCCAGATACAGCACTAGCAAGTACAAAGGCCCTATGGCAAGAGTGTAATTGGATTGTGTGAAGAAAAATAAGGTCAGCTTGCCCTCTCAATATCACAAAATGCATTAAATAAAAAGAGAAATCGATGGACCTTTAAATTATTTTAATTATTATCATTATAAAAAGAAATACTGTATAGTAATTTTGGTGCCTTGATTTTTATTACAGAAATAATAAGAAAGAAATCATGTGCAATGGAGGAGGCTTGCACTACTATTTCATAATGAGAATAAATAAATCTATCAACTAGAGGACAGGTCAGCTAACTGTTCTTGGAAATAGAAGTTAATTAGAACACAGCCACTCCTATGTGTTTACATACTGTCTGCGCCTGCTGTTGCTCTGTGTGATAGAGTGGAGTACTTGCAACAGAAACCTACCCTATGGCCCTCAATTAGAAAAATGGCGCTTTTCAGTAAGTGAGATATAAGACAGCCATACAATTTACTATCTCACATAATTCAGTGTATAAAATAAATCAAATAGTGGGTAGATTCTTAGAACATATCAACAGCATCATTGCCTTTTGCTTGCATTCATTTTCTTCATTTAACTTCTCCTGAAGTTAAAGGAACTTCTTCATTTAACTACCAATCATTTGGATAGACAGATCTAGTTTCACACACAGAAACTCAGCAGTGGACTTTTCCTTCATACTTCTCCCTGCACTGATAGTAGTTACACACCAGGTTACTCAGAACGCACAGAATGATTACATAGAAATACAGTGAGGAAAAAGAATCTCTGTTGCCCTAAAAAGTTCTTTTCAAAGTACTCTACACAATTTGATGCTGATATTAATTACATGTAGGTGCTATCACATTCAAAATGGTGGGGAGCTGAAGCAAATTTGGGGGTTATAGAAAATTCCTAAAATGACTAGGGGTTTTAAATACCTTTTTTAAGAAAAAATGAGCAGAGTAACTTTGAATCTCTTTTCTAGAATTATTGTTAAAAGATATTATATAACAGCCCTGGCTGGTGGCTCAGTGGACTGGGTGCTGGCCTGTGAACCAAAGGGTCACTCGTTTGATTGCCAGTCAGGGCACGTGCCTGGGTTGGAGGCCAGGTCCCCAGTAAGGGGCGCGCAAGAGGCAACCACACATTGGTATTTCTCTCCCTCTCCCCTCCTCTTTCCGTCTCTCTAAAAATAAATAAAATCTAAAAAAAAAGATATATAACAACGTTGATTATATTCAGGACCCTATATAAAACATGCTGAGAGATGCCAAAGTAGCGGAGTATATCATACTCACCTTCAGGTCTTTGCATTCCAGTGGAAGATTATTCAGAATTGTTAGGTGAGGGCCTCATACAGCTGGATGAAAACATTCATTACACAATAATAAACACTACCTTGGAATTTGGGGTCAATAAACTTGAATATGATATTTTATAGGATTAGATGAATGATAGTTGAAGGAATCAGGAACACAATAGGAAAAAACAGAGAGAATGTTACCTACTTTATTTTCTTACAATGCCGGTGGGCTGCTGTTTGTATGTATGTTGGTATGTATGGTTGGGACACAGCTGGTAGGTTCCTGCTGTCTTAAATAAATGTTTTCTTTCTCTCACTTCCTAAATACATTGAATACACATACTAACAATTCTACATAATCCTCCACTGCACTTTTATCTCAATTATACATTCTATGCAATTCTCCTATGGCTCTATAAATAATTTAATGATGATGTTAATAAAGTACCTCGGAATAAGCACAAAAGAGCAAGTACTCTACTACCTAGCAAATATGCCTCTTTTTGAAGATTGTCAAATTATAAAAATACATTCCATTCACACATGACTCAGAAATCTGTTGGTGACAGAGGTAACTCTAGCTTAGTTTTATATATTAAAATTATAAATTTGAATTTTCCTAAGTAGGGAGGTTTCTAGATAGTATAACAAGGGCAACAATAGAGAGCTGTTCTCTAAAATGATAAAGGAGTAGGTTCATAAAGGCTTTGTTACAGAGACTCTTAGGTTGGAGTTTAGAAGGGGATGTAAGGGGCTAACTGGTAATGGAAAAAAATAAGCTTTCAGAAACAACAATAAATAAACAGGAAGTTCAATGGATGAAGAAGTTCTAAATAAAAGGAATACAAACTTATTAATCCTAGACTGTTTTGTTATAGCAACATAATTCTTAGCAAAAAAAAATTTGATAAAAAATCTTAATATACTGAAAAAAATTTTAGCATAAAATTCTATAAAACTTCTCAAACTTTATGTTCTCAGTACATTTTTGTTCCCAAAAACTAGAGAGCTTTTGTTTAAATGGGTTGTACCTATCAAAAGTTACCATATTAGAAATTAAACTTTTAAATATTTACTTTAAGTAACTATAAAACTTTTACCCAGTAACATAAATTAATATAGTTTTATAAAACACAACTACATTTTCCAAAACAAAAAATAAATAAATTAGTATGAAGAGTAACACTGTTACAAAGTTTTGCAAACCTCTTTAATGTGTAGAGGAGACAGCTGGGTCCTGATATGTGCTTTTGCATCAAATTATTGTAATATGTTATCTTGGCTAAGCCACATGAAGAAAATCAAACACAGACATATGTAGTTAGAAAACGGAGGATGACACAGACCCCCGGCAGAACACCAACTGTACTTTCAGAACTACTGATAAACACGTTAAACAGATTTTTCAGTGATCAACTCGTCTTCTACAAAAACACTCGACTATTTCAAAGAAATCCCTTATATTCCCAAAGGAAGAAGGGGAGGATGGAGAAGGAGGAGAGGAGACGTCAGGAAAGTTAAGAATTGTTTTAATGTGCCTTGCTACTGCGGTCTTTACATATCAAAGTTCTGATTTTATAAAAATTTTAAGTTATTAGAGAATTATAGCAATGAAAAGTATCTTTGAGAGTACACCTCCAAAGTCATCAAAAACCAAGAACCAAAGGGACTAACAAATTATACCCCCCAAAATGACAATAATATTATTAATAAGAAGGCTCAGAGTTTAGAGGGGAAAACCCAGCTTGAATGTAAGTATTTTCATAAATACATACAAATATCTCTAAGGAATATAAATGTGCGTGTATCCTATCTCTACTTATATTCATATTTAGAAAAAAGACTTCAGTTTCAAGAAATCCTTGACAGTATAACCAAACCACACATTTGTTACAAATTAATTACATTTCCTACTTTTTTAATTTTTTCAATAATCACTTTAAAAATATTTTATTTCAGAGTTAAGAAATATTGCACATATTAAGACAACTGATATTTTATCACATACACAAGTTAAAGTTTATGAAATAAAACATGAAATCAATTCTGAAATTTTTCATCTATATTACCAATGTATAAAGATAGCCATAAGAATTTATTTAAATGTCAACTATTCAATAGTTTTGTTAATTTACTTAACAAAAGACTATTTACATTATTTCCAAGTTTTGTTAATTTACTTAACAAAAGACTATTTACATTATTTCCAACTTTCAATTATTTCAGCTACTTCACATAGACTTTCAAAACTTTGTATAAAAAGTTATCACTGCTAAACTATAGGCTATGGTTGTGTTCAAAATTCTCACCAAAATTTGAGTATCTGTAACCTGTTCTTGAAATATATGCATTGCTTTTGTCAGATCTTCTTCACCTTCTGGAATGCTAAAATTGTCATCTGGTATCTAAAGCCCAGAGAAAGAGAAGGATAGGAAGAAGGGTTAGCTAGAATATAAATATACATTATTTCATTTCAGTCTTTTCTTACAAAACAAAGGATCAAAGAAATATATTTTATGTAAGACACCATATCATTTTGAAGATCTATAAAAATTAATAAATAAGAAGCAGGAAGCCTTCTGACTTTATTTTAAACATCACTCAGTGTCACTTTTAATAAATTCAGTATTAGCTTATGGACAACTACTTTTATCTATAATGACAAATGTAGACTAACGTCTGTGCTGAAAAATATGTTAGGTAACCTAAACGCCACCATTCTCTCTTCATCCTAGATTTTTCTCCCCCATTACTTTTCCATAATTACTACTAGCAACTACAAATCTCTGGTTTATTAAAAAATAAATAAATAAAACTCACTGCCTGAACGTTAAGCTCTTAGAAGAATGTAATCTAATCAAGTGCGATATTAATAACAGCACCTATGGCATGCTTCTTATGTGCTGATCACAGTTTTAAGCCCTTGGCAATTATTTAACTCATTCAGTAACTTCATGCAGTATGTATCAATATTATCTCTATTGTCCCAGCCGTAATAAAAAGCCCATGTTCCGTGCTTGTCCTATCTCTTGCTTGCCCAGGCCATAAATTGCCAGGCTTGCATCCACACAGTTTCACTCACAGCTTCTGCCTTCTACAAGTGTCTCTATCGTCCAAGTCTCAGACGTAATGGTAAGTCTCAGTGGAACAGTCAATTAAAGGAGAGGTGTGAGACAGCAACCTCACCAGACAGAAGTGTAGTTAGCTGGAAGGAAGCGTAGGACCCGCACCCTGGCTATGGGTTGGTAGTGATTTTGGAAGGCCGGCCAAGGGCAGGCTGGATGACATTAATGCCGACGAGACGGTGATGGCGGTTTGTGGTACCGATCGCCAAGGCAGGTGATGAGGGGCTGAGTTTGAATGACTCCCCAATTAAGAGGAAACCCCAAAAAGCCAGACAGATGTATTAACCAATCTAAATTTTTAATTCAATAGAATTTCCACACCTCACTTTTAATCAGCTGAGATTAGCTAAAAATCAGCTGAAAAACTAGTAACTCTTAATGAATAAATAAATATTTCTCAAGAACAACCATAATGAATTTACTGAATACCCAAAATGAACAAATTACCTCTTCATATTCATAATCATCTTCAGATGCTTCGGTTATGGTGACCTCTGAACATTTTGTTAAGTCTTAATATCAAAATATATGGAATAAAATGATTACACTTAAAATCAATTTGACCTTGAAATACAGTTTTAGCTCCAATTAGCTCACCAACTTGGTGGGCTTACACATTTCAAAGTTTTCATCAATGAAAGTTATTTAATTCTCTACTTTTTTCTTATATGTATTTCTCAATTTTAAATGCTCTTCTCAGGAAAGGCAGTCTAATTTTTAAGCAAATATAAATTATATAGTAATCATAATTCAGTAGTTCATAAATTATCAAGAAATAAGCATTGAAATATCACAAATGATTCTAATAAAAATTCTAACAGCATTGCTGTAAGACTTTTAAAATTATAGAAGTTATTCTAATTATAAACGAAAACATCAAGTTAGTTTGCTGGTTGGTAGGTTTACTTTTTTTTCTTCAAATGTACAGACTTGGTGGTGCCAAGTTTAAAAAGCATGAAATTAAACACTTTACTGCACAGGAATGGTTATGAAAATCAAAGATGAGATTAGCCTCGTTTGCATTTTGCTGCCGGTTATAAGAAATTGTCTCTGTTATTCTGTCTTCCAAGAGTTAGCTGAAAGCGTATTTAACAACGTATATTGTTTGTAATATGAATTGATAACACGTAGTATTTAACAGAAGCCAGCTGTTGTCCTAAGGGTTATACTTGCGTTAACTCACTCCATCCTCATCCTGGGAGGCCGCAGCCATCACTATCTCCGCTTTGCAGAACGCGACGCAAAGGCACGAGGCTGCACAGCTAGGGCCTAACAAAGCTGGGAGAAAGCCCCAGCAGTTCAGGTTTCACTATGCTATATCCCGCTCTCGTTGTTCTCTATGGGTTTTCTGTGCATGTAAATACTTGAGGTGTTTGCCAATTATATCCCACATAGTTCTAAACCTCTAAAGATAGGTAATACATCTTGTTACTAAGCCCCATCATAAGCAATAACTCTTTAGTATTCGCCTTATTGTTTGAGGAGACACTTAAGCCTAGTTCAGTTATAACCAACCCTCAGGAACTAGCTACCTTTCAAATGGCCAATATTTTGTCGTCAAACATGAGTGCCTCTCCCAAAAATATGGTGAAAAGTAATTTAGGATATAAAATAACATTAAAAGTAAACTAAAATAACCACACAAAAAAGTTACATGCCTGCAGTATAACCTTAAACTCAGCCTTATAGAGTAACTACCTTTTACTAACATCCTACTTAAAGTACTTCCAAATTCTCTCAGTGCTCTATTGCAAAGCCACCCTTATACTTTAAGGTACTTTTTATGTTGAAACGTCATTTCTAGGTATCAGAATTGGTATTTTTTTATGTATGGCTGCACAAAAAACTTCCAAAATCTTTGGGCTTAGAAAAAATCATCGAGCATTCATTATCCCACAGCTTCTGTGATCAAGAGTTCAGTAGTGGCGTAAGTAGAGGATTGTGATGTGGGGTCACTCATGAGGTCCCAGTCGAGATGGCAGCCAGGGCTGTCGTCACCTGAAGGCTTGACTGAGGCAACAGGGTCTACTTGCTGAAGGCACACTGATATTGTTGGCTGGGAGACTCAGACCCTTCCCACGCGAGTCTCCCCACAGGCTTCTTAAACCTCCTCCAGACATGGTGGCCAGCCACCTCCAGAACAAGCGAGCCAAGAAAACGAAGTAGAAGCCACAATTTCTTTTATGAACAGCCTCAGAAAGTCACAAATCATCGCTTATTCAATGTCCGTTGGTGAGACAGGCCAACACTGCTCAGTATGTGAGGGCACCATGTAAGAGCATTCGCACCGGAGGTGGGGATCCCCGGGCATCATTTTGCAGGCTGGCTACACCACCACCTTACAGGCTTTCAAGAGTATTAGAGTTAACATATGTAAGTCACTTAGAAAAGTGCATGGCTTCTAGTAAAGTCTATACAGTGTTGGTTACTATTTTCCCTCTTCTGGAAAGAGATGGGTACCTGTGGAAAAAATCTCATTTATTCTCCCATGGCCCAGTTCCCCAGTAGGTTAAGATGAATGGATAAAAGACATTCTAAATCTTCCTCCTTTTCTACAGTCATATTTATCTGACACAGTCTCACTTAATGAGATAAAAGTTCCTGCGTATCAGAGACAGGAAGTCAGCCTCTTTTTTTATGGAAAAGTATGTTTCCTTCTGAGAGACAACTACTAGAAACTGATTTTGTGAGCAATCACTTGTCATTAGATCTCCAGAAGAGCAATGCCATACCCTTCATCACCGTTCATACTATAAAAAATATTCTATCATGATCTGGATAGACTTTATAATGGTAAATTAACTAACAGCTGACTAGATTGTAAGGAGCAAACACGAAAGTGAAGTCTGCTAAACATAGTGATATGTAAAGGGAAAAAATGAATTGTTCTAAAAGCTTTGGAAATATCTAACAACACCTGTATACTCTACCCAGAAAACATTCTAAGCAAAGGAATTTATCACTAATAAAATACTCTGTTTCTACACAATCAAAAGAGACTAACAAAAAATAACTACCATTTTTGTAAAGCTTAAAAAGTATTGTCACATGGAACATAACCATATTCATTCTCGTAACAACCTTGTGAGATTGAATGGCACAGATACAGTCATCTCTAAAGTGAGAAAAAAAAACAAACCAGAATCAAAAAGATTAGCCTAATATGACATAGCTATGAGTAACAAAGACAAGTTTCTTCAATATAAATGCCAAGAATTTTCAAGTAAATCATATTATTTCTACAGTGAAACAATAGGAATATGGAATTTTTGCCAATAGCCTAAGTAACAAACCCTCACCTATTTGTTTTCCAACCTCTTAAGAATGATAATAACAACAGCTAAATCAAGTCACTTAAATAGCTCAATGTGAAAACCTTAAAGGATGGAGAAGTATAAAAGGGCTACAGACCCAAAAGTTAAATTAACCAAGGGCAAGAGATTAATGACACAAAAGATCAGAAAAAGAACAAATATCGAAAAATAGGAACTAGTATCCTCTTTGATGGGTATTTTTAGTATCCGTAATATGACGCACAAAAAAATCTTCCCACAAGCGACTCAGTTGAAATGTGATGTTGCAGTGGTACTGAAGAAATAAGTGGACTTTGGCATGTATATTGGTATACATCTGTCTATCTGGCTAACTGCTTAGCAACACATGGACAAATGCATGAACAAATCCCAAAATGATTCTGTGGCAGTTTACAAATATGCATACATCACATAATATGAAAATAAATGAATATGTAAATTAGAAGAGAAAGGGAAATAGTAGAAATAGGGTAAAGATGCAGTACATGCCATAGGTCTCATAAATTTTGTTAAATGTAAGCCACGGATCTGACTCTCAGCTTCCCAGCAGCCAGGGTGAAAAGGGAATATAATGAGATATCAATTCAGTATCCATCTAATGAGAACAGATGCATTTCTCAGCAGATATACAGCAATTTCTGGTTTCAAAATATGAATAAATTACACTTCCAGTTTCTCATGGAGAGGACACCGTGGACTGTACAGATATTGACCCCCTTGGCCCTTGGGACAGCCGGAAAGACAGCAGGAAGCAGAATCTGACAGAATACCGCGTGTGAAAAGCACTGCTTTAGAAGCAGAATTGCCAGAGTGGAAATAGGTAATTGGTCAGAATTGCTTGAAAGCTGAAATCTTTACTGTGGTTCTATAATACTTTTACTAGGAAACTTTCTCATCTGTAATCTAATCTCTTAGGTGATCCTATTCCCCAGGAAATGTCCCTACAATTAAGCTGGTCACAATCCTAGTGCAGTTATTTTTCCACTGTAGAATAATAAGCTGGCATCTGGCTTAAAATCAGTTTTTTAATGCCAAGCTACCTCTGAGCCCTTGCAAAATGCTCCTCCCTTTATCTACCCAGTATTCCTCCAAAGAACATCACTGAACTCCAGTTCTGAAATTCATGTTTTTCCACCCTGTTCCCCTCACGTCTGGTTCTTGCCCTTCTGCCTATTTGAGCTTAACGTGACACTTAATACTGCGCATGGTTTCAGTCTGCTTCCGCCAGGGCACCGTCTGCAGCCACAATCCATAACACTGCCTACTTCCAAGCCAGGCTCTGTGTCCGAGAGTCACAGTCCAGGCTCAAACCAAGGGTCTCTCTTCCCCCACCCCCACCCCACCATCTCTATTTGCCTTGAAAAGCATTTAATAGTATTTGTGAGTTTGCATAGCATGAATCAGCACCCTGGTGCTTAGGGTACTTAGTCACCATGGATGAACTGATTGGGACCTTTCGCCTTAGCAGAATCTGCACCAGATCCTGACTTCCTAGATCCTAGCAGAGAACCGACCAATATACACCCACACTGAGACTGCCCGGGAGCCCCAAATCCCTCACAGTACAACAGAAGATACAACTGCAAGAGGCCTCAGAGAAGTATTTCAGCTGGTGTAATGGAGCAGAGCTTGAGGTGCAGGTTGGTATGATTCTATCACAAGGTTCTGCAAATGGACCACAGCCAGGAAGAAACAATTTTCGGATATAGGCAGCATTCAAAGTTCCTCACACGCTAGTCTCTTCCTCTACTGCATTTACAGGTAGTGATCACTGCCAGCAGCAGCATCTTTATAAAGAACTGGAGTGAAACATACAGCTAATTATATTTTACATGATTTCCCAAAGCTGCTATAGCCAGAAATTGCTTTGTAATCTTTGCCATCACTACAGAGCCAATGTATACAGAGGCAATCTAAAATCCAGGATCCTCTATAATCAACATTTTACTTACTAAACTGAAGTTTTAAAAAAAAAGTACTATAAATAGCAAACATCCCAATCATGGTCCCTTTCTGAGGAATTCCAGTTTAAATAGAGTAAGTTAACCGAATACTATAAACCAAAGATAGTAAATAACTGGCATGTTTGCTGCCAGTTTCTCCATTGTTTGCTTCCTGCGGTCTTTCTCACCAAGTCTTCATTAGCTCTCAGAATTCTTATTAACACCACATATGAGGAAGCCACTACCATTTTAATAGCATTGCCAAGAGGTGGAAATGTACTGGCCACCTCCGCCCTAGACAGCTCCTGCACATCTTCTGCCTCAGACACTGGAAAACAAGTTTCTTTCAACGTAGAAGACTTGTAATTCTCACAGTAGGTAGTGGTGTAAGTTTTCCTCAGAAACTGGGGGATAAGTTCCTTCTGACATATAAGACTCGTAATTCTCACAGTAGGTAGCAGTGTAAATTTTCCAACTTGTAATCCAGGAGAGCCAAAGATATCAACTCCACATATTGTAACCTCTATCTGAAAATATAAAGGTCAAAGGTTAAGATACTTATCTACAGCCTTGCCATTCCTAATACAGTTCTCACCAGCAGCACCTGGGAGCTTGTTAGCACTGCAGAATCTCAGCCCTCACTGGCACTTACTGAATTAGAACCTTCATTTAAAGATCGTATCTTTAGGTCCATCCATTCTGTTGCAAAAAGCAAAAAAGAAAAGAGAGAGAGAGAGAGAGGAAGAACTCACAGACGTAACCACAGTGTGGTGCTTACCAGGGAGAGGTGAGGTGGAGGAGGGCAATGGGGGAATAAACGAGGACGGTGGGGAGTAGAGGGGACAAACGGTGACGGACGGAGGCTTGCGGGGGGTGATGTGTTGTAGAAGTGTGCGCCTGAAACATGTACAATTTCATTAACCAGTGTCATCCCAATAAATTCAATAAAGAGGAAAAAATCCATATCTTTGATTCATATGCACATTAAAGTGTGCCTGAACTAGAGAACACAAAACAAAACACATTTTTTCTTTCCAAATAGACCGTGACTTTCCTGCAGGTAAAATTCAGCACGTGAGTTTAGAAACATGTCTCTTGGTCTAGATCCTACATTCAGATTGTCTACTTTGTCTACCTTTTTATTTGATACATGTAACATGCAGCGAACCCCCTGTGGGCAAACTGAGTTTTCCAATGATGATAAGAAATGCACAGCTTGAGTACATATGATTATTAAGGATTTTATGAGTATCTTCTCACGTACTACTATAAACATTCCAGATAAATAACATAACAGAGGGAAAATCTTTTTTGTTAAAAGGAATAAAATGTTCTTAAATGACAAAAGCTCAATTTTAATTAAACAAAGTTATTGTTGAACATTATACTACTGCAATGAAAGATTAGCTAGGGATATCACTTAAAAAGACAACCATGCATCTTAGATGGGTATCAGGCTAGCGTGATCGCTTTGTTTCAGGGTCTGGAATCCTTAATTTTGAATTTTCAGAGAAAGTTAATTCTGGAGCTGCCTCAAAATACTGGCTTAATGCACTCAATTCTCAGAAAGTGCTGTTCAGAGATTGCTATTAGGGCCAGAAAACACCGTTTCAGGGGCCAGAAAATGTGTGTCCATAATTTAGAGAGCCAAATTTTTAGAGTTAGAATGCCTGGAAAGATGATAGAATAAGCAAAAGCTAGTTAGGGGAGCAGAGATCAGAGCAAAGGGAGGTAGATAACAAAAACAACATCTTGTGGGCTCCACTTTATCCTGGAGTCATGTACTCCATGCCTCTTCCTTGAACAAGGTTTTTCTCTAGACAGGGAGCAATAAAGTCAATTAAGCATTAGCTTTCTTAGTACATTCATTCCAGCCTGCATCTCCCAACAGATCTGGGTACGCCCAAATGTCTACAGCTACACATTAATAGGTAGCCCACAGTCATGACTACAATTGAAAACATCACTCAAGTTGTATCGATTTCTAATAGAAGATTCATTCACAAAAGACAACCAGCCTTCTTTACAAGTTCTAGAGACACCTACTTGGCCCTTTACAGATCACTTGGTTTAAAATGGAGCCTATATTCTACATGCTGCAAATTTCTTTCTTATGAGGAGTTCTCCAGGGGATTTATGTACTCCAAGACCAGATTTCTTAAAGCACCAGTGATAATTAAATAAGAACTACTTCATGTATGTTTGTATCTCATCTTTTGGAAGTTTAAAGCATTAAAACAATGATACTGTGAAGTGCATCAGAAGAGAAACAGGTGGCACTATTACAGCTAGGAGGCTGAAAGCGAGTGGTGTTGCAGGGGTCTTTGTCATGAATACATTCTCTAAACTGTTGTAAAGAATATGGGGAGTTTAATGAAGCCATTCCCCCCATGATGGATCCTGCCTTTGTTTCTGGTTTGGGCCACACTAGTGTGTCCATGTTCTTTATATTTAAATGTTTAAAAAACAAAGAACAGGGTGATTTCCTGGAGAATGGGAGTCAACATCTTTCAAAGCCTTGCTCAATATCGATAGCTTGTTGTCTCGAGTTCTAGGAGCATCTGTTCAGTCGTAAATATGGAAGTCCAACATCAAATGCAGGTGATTAGAAGTGATAAGGTGCATGTGCAAAGTAGAGAACATCAGATTTCTGATTCATGTGCGCATATTATAACTTTTCTTTATCCAGTGCAATAGCTCAATTAAATTACCTGAGAGCTAAAGACTTTAAACCCAAGAAAATCTCACTTCAGCAACTCTCATAATTGCCTTAGGAAACAATGTCAAATAACATTATACAGTCAACTCTTAATTACGCATGTTAAGAGAGCCCAGGGATACAGGGGTAATTGGCATTCAGAAGAAATCCTCCAACTTCATTTTAACTAAGAGTTAAAGTCTCTCCCATGACTATACCTCTTGCTTGCACTAAACGTAGGAAAATTGACTGGTTAAGTGTTTAGCTTTGCTATCCCCTGACTACTCTGGTTGAAACCCAAAATAGTAGTCACTCAGGCAATGAGAGATGGAAAGAAAAAATGAAAAAAAAAACAAAAACAAAGGGCCTACATAATTCACAAACTAGAGAGTAAAATTCTGAAAAGTTGGAGTTGCTTATATTTGCAAACCTGGTTTTCAAGAGAGGTCTTCATAAGAAAGGTGTCATGCAAAATGCCATGTGTTGGCAGTTGCAACTCAGTGATCTCCCTGCCAATTAAGTAAACATGATTTTCATTGCTGACAGTTGTGCTATATTGAAGTCCCACCATTTATTTCACAAAAAAATGTTTGCAAAATGTTACCTCTTTGTGTTTGTCTCATGTTACCAATTATACTATGTGTTATAGAAATCATTTTAATGTAGTCAAAAAATTGTTAGTACGTCTGGTTATCATTCACTAGCAAGAATACTGGGTAACTTTAGACTTGACATAGATAGCTCTGAAATAAATGTTGACCTGTTTTGTTCTGTTTTGTTTTGTTTTTTAATTTAAAAAAGACTATCACTAAAAAAAACTAGCTAGTGCTATAAAAACAGTATAAAACCTCATTTAAGACACTAAAGCACCCACACATCTCATTCAAATCAATTTCTAAATATTCGAAATTATATATCTGGAAAAACCATATTCACCTCGAGTAAAATATTACAAATTTTCTTTGATCTTTTCACCTTAGTTCTTCAAAGTTCCCTGTAACAGAGATGTGTACTGAAACTGAGTCAAGACAGGTTAACTAGCCTGGCAAAGCTCACAAAACGAACCATTACTGGGTCCCTGAAGCCATGTATTAGAGCTGGAGCGACAACAGTGGGACTAAATACACAGATTAATAAACAGTAAGGTAGATTTGGAGTTTCCTTTACACTTAAAAATAACACACATAACCCCTCCTACCTGCCTGAAGAAAGGAAAAGTTATCTTTTTCTCATGAACTGTCCCTGTCTCTCCAGTCCAATTAATCTATACGCCTACAAGAGGGGAGCTACAAAGTTTTACACAATAAATAGTGAACTTAATTATCCACATATGGGTATTCGATTTTTTTCTGCTCTTTCCACTGTTAATTGCTCATCACTTTCTGGCTTTTTCCCAACACCTATGTCTGAGCCCTGTCAGCTCACCACGATATCAGTCAGTGGCTAAAGGGGAAGAAAAAAAAAGAAGTTGTTATTATTATTATTTTAAATAGCCAAAAGTGAAACTACCCAAGAAGTTAATGCTACCAAAATAAATCTTTGAAGCCTTGGACACTGGTTGGATATTCTGAGCCTCAGCTTGTTAGAAGCCCAAAGGCTCCTTCCCTAATCTTTCTCAACTGAATTTGTTCCAACAGTACTCTGAAAGTTTGGAGGCTTATTTAGGAAAACCACTAAGCCAAAAGGAGGGTTGGATCCACTTGCTGCTCCACCTTCACCATAAAACTTTTATCCAAAGTTCACTGAGCGGTTACTAAGCACGAAACTCCTGAAGCCTTCCAACAGGCACGCGGCAGCCTAACCATCTAACAGATGGCCAAGAAGTCCACTCGTAGGTGTACTGGGGGTTTCAGTGGCAGAGACACCACCCTTCAGTCCGACAGGCGTCTCAGCCACTGGGCGACCCCAAGCCTCACAGGGCGCCCCCCAGTGGGAAGCCCCGGCTATCGCCCCTAATACCCGTTGCCGCGGCAGACACCTGCGGGGGCCATGTCTCTACGGGAAGGATACGCTCCAGGTAGTAGGTGCCCTCGGCGGCCACCGCGTCCTCGGCTTCCCCAGCAGCCGTCAAGCCCATGCCCAGTGCTTCTTCCAGAGCCCGTAGGGGAGAGGCGGTCCCGCCTTGCCGCGCAGCCATCGAGGCGCTCAGGGTCCCCACCCCGGCCCAATGCGTCCTTAGGAGCAACGTTAAAGACGCTGACCAACGAGTACCCCCTCCCCACGCAGCTCTCGCGAGAGCCTGACACTCCCTCAACCCCCACCCCCCAGGCCAGCTCCGGGCACGGAAAGGCTGCCCCAGGATACGGGTTGGTGCCCTGTGAGCGTCCTGGGTTACCACGGCAACGTAGTTGCTTAGTTACGCCCAGAGTGCCTTGGGACGCTGCTCCTGGAGTGGACGCGGTAAAAAGCAAGAGACAGTAGGCTTGGATTACACACGTTTTCTTACCGAGACAGCTTGGTTTTCTTTCGTTTTGACCCTAGCATTTTTTTTCTTACTTCGTTATCTTGCCTAAATTGCCTCTCTCTTGGTTCTTACATGCCGATCATCAGTCGATTTTTAGATGTGTGTAGAGCCCCAATTATCCCCAGGAAAAACTCCTGGAAAAGAAGAAGTTTCTCGGTGCCCGAAGGGGGAGAAAAAGTCCTAGAAGTCATGATTGAGAGACTGACACTGGGGAACTACCATCCTCAGATGCTTAGCAATAAAGAAATAGGGTGCTTGGCTCAGTCCAATCCATTCTTGTGCTCCTACAAAACATTTATCTGTACCTCTGTCTTTACTTCGATTTCATACACTGGGACTTGGAATAGCATTTGGGGCATTGATTCTTGCCAAGGTAAAACCACTTTCGTAAGAATTATGAGGTACAAATGGCCCCAACATAATGCATAATACATGATATTTGCCCAATCATGTGCTGTCCTTTTGCTATGACAGAACCTTCCTGAGATTTATATTGCGTATATATCAGAAGCAAGCATCGGCTGGACCCTTTTCTTTCACGATTCTTTATTCTACATTTCTTGATGAAAAATGATTACATACCTTAAATCGTTGTTGCAAGTGGTAAAACAACATAAAGAATAAAGAACTCACCAGGCATGTAGTAGACACTGAGAAATAAATTTTATTTCTATTGAAGTTAATTCTTTTGGGTTTTGTTTTCTTCTTCTTCTTTTCTTTTTTTTTTTTTAATAATCAAGGGTCACAGATATAATATTTGGAGAATTCATTCCTGGCATTTATTTTTGTAATCATCTACTCTCTGTCCCTTATGCCTTACATCAAACACAACCTGAGAGTGCATTAAATGCAAGGAACAATTATAAGTGGCTGCAGATACAGGAAAGGCACTCTACAATTGGGGGATCCATTGCTTTTCTTTTTTCTTTTCAGTTGCATTTTTATCTTTCTTAAAATAATGAAGCATAATATGCTGGAAATGCCGCTTATTTTCTTCCATCTTCAATATGAAAATGGCTACACAAAAATTCACCAATTTTGATTTTTTTAATGCATGCTGATATGACAGCTGTCACAATACAATCTAATAAAATTGTTTCAAATTAAGTTAAAGACAACTAAGCATTACTTGAGCCATCTTACAGAAAAAAAACAAACGAACTTTTTTGTCAAACCAATGGTATGTCACGTTCTACTGATAGGTTTAAATCCTGGCTCTTCTGTACGATCTTAATTAAGCTCTCTGAGCCTTAGTTTTCTATTCTCTAAAACTGAGATTTTAATACCTACCTTACTAAAATATAAAGGGTAAATGAAATATGTAAAAAGCACTTATTATCATCATGTTTGGTATAAAATGTTTTCAATAAAATTGACTTAAAATATTAAGTGATATGTTGATTCAAAATTGGATGTTATTCTTGTCAGGGACTACTATATATATGAATATTTTAAGACAAAACTAAAATATCTTTAGACATACCCAGCACTCCAAAAAGGAAACGATTTTAATAAAGTCATAAGAAAATATGAACAAGTATTATGGCAACTATCTCCTGCTTAAGGTGGACAAGAGATGGGAAAGATTCTTGTCAAGAGCTTAAAAGAAAAGAAAAGAAAAGGAGAGAAAAGAAAAGAACAGAGTTTTCTGCTCTAATATGTATCATTACTGCACTCCTCGAAAAAAAATTTTTTTTTAATTATCGAAGTCTGATCCTCTAATGGCCTCAAATAGCCAATGTGTAAATTCAGAGTTCCAAATTTAACATCACTTCATGGATTTTAAATTTAAAAGTCCCCCAGGATATTTGTGGCTCAACTACAATTTGAACACATCACAGGAACCTAACACAGCAGTGCATTTAAAATTTCAAATTCGGAGCATCTTTATCATTTTATTTTGCAAAACTTTAGATCTCTACAAAGGATGGATAATATTTTCAAAAACAATAAAAGAAAAGAAAAAATAACCTAAAATATAAACAGAAACCATTAAATGGCTTTCACATATTAAAAAAAACACTAAGATGCGATCTTCGGTGGTGACTACTAGTATCTTAAAACTAGTAAGGCTTTGCAAGAGAGAATCTAAAAATAATCCTTTTCCATTGTTTTGTTAATTGCTGATTTCATTAAAAAGTGATGTGAAAGACTCACTAAGAAAAACCAGAAACTCCAAATTATAGTAGTGGTTTTTGTTTTTATGCTATCCTATAGTATTTCCATCCTATAGCTTTTCCTTTTCAAAAATATTTTACAAACATCCTTGAAGTGGAAAAAAAGGCAGTGCCTTAACATTTTGATGAATGAACAGCAAGCTCTCTAGTTTACCTTTGAATATATTCCTGAAAGAGGTAAATAAAGAAAACTGATGGAGACAGACAAAATGAAGCAACAATCACAAAGGACAACAGATTTTATTGCCTCCAAACCTGAATGTTCTACTTTTGTAAAAGTGAAATTATTTTTGAAAGCAAAACCAGAAAGTAATCTGTCAATGGATTTATTCTTCACATTTGCAGTTTCAAAGCAGATAATACTCATATGCAAAAATATAGTAGTAGTATTCCATTTTTAGAAGTTATGAATGTTCATTTGTTTTCAATAGAGCCCAAGCTATTTGCTGATGCATTATTTTTTAAAAAGTAACTACCTAATTTTCTTTCAAATCCTCACAGTAAGTGGTAGGCAGTTTTAGACTTTCAGAATTCATGTAAATGGTGGTAATTGTGGTGGAAATTATCATTTTCAAACCTACAACTATATTTTCCCTTTTTTTAAATACCAACCAATTTGAAAATCCATGTCTCCTATGTTTTTAACCCATGTAGTTCACACACTGTAATTAATCTGACTGCAAGTATTACATGAGCTAACATAAATATCTCATTTTGCTTGGCTACAGTGACCAGTTCCTAAGTTGGCATGTGACATAAAAGGAACCAATGAGACTTGGTGAAGTTTGCTGGGAATTCTGGAAAAGGGGTTTCGCGAGCATGTGTCACAACATAGTCTTTCCTATAAACCAGCCTTTGGTCCCTGCTCCAGTCCTCTGATCCAGGCCTTAAGAGCTGAAAACACCAAGCCACATGTAGGACCACCAGTGCTACAGGTGACACTGGCACTGAGAGATAACAAGGAGCCAACACATGTGACTATGATATTCACTGATTTCATTAATGCAGGTTCACTCAGCTTTTACTAATGTAGATTTAATCCAAATCCATACTAATCTAATAACAATACTAATCACTCAGAAACAATCAGCAATGATATTACACAGGAGAATTGGGGGATAACGAACCTGAGTCCCAGAGCCTCAGTCTGTGGACCCAGAAGACAGCAGAGTGAGCAAGGGAGCCGTCAGTGTCTTGCAAGGGGGAATTTCCCGAGCCAGGTGGGCAGCAGGGAAGATGAAGTCCTCAGTCCAGGGAGCTGATGCCCAGGGAGATCAGTGTGGCGTGGAGCAGCACTCTGGTGTGTGGAGCTCGGCTATCTCAGCAGTGGTCTGGAACCGGCCTCAGTTATACCTTGACAGTGGTGTGCTCCACCCTCCGGGTCTCTTGTTAAGTGTCTTGGCAGCCCTGGTCGCAAGTGGGGAATTTCCTGAGGAGCCTATCTGTGGGTGGTCCTGCTCTGCAGACCGAGCTATTCTGGTCACATGTGCAGATATCTTAGGGGTGTCTCCTTGCTAGATGTGTCTAGTATGATTTAGGCAGTTTCGGTCTTGAACCAAAGTTTCATGGCTGACTGGCAGCTGTCTTAGCTGACATGAGTGAGTCTACTTTCTTTTGTATACTCTGTCCTATCTTGACCAGACCAATGCCATTTTATTGGTCCTGCTCCCCACAAGGGGCTCTCACTCTGTTCCTTGGAACTTAACTTCTAGAGTTGCCATAGCTACCTTGCAAATATAAAGAAAATTTCTGTCCAAGAACTGAATGAACATGGAAGACCCAGATGAAAGAAAGAGAAAGCCTTAGTCCAGAAAAAAACACTTGAACTCCTAGTTTATACATGTGTGTGCAAGCGTGTATGTATATATTTTCTTGTTCTGTCAGCTGAGAGAGCCTAGAAGTAACAATACTCTCATAGCGATGAGCATACCTAGCACCCATGTCTTGGTTTCTAATACCATTTTCCAATAAAAGCCATGGCCATTGGGAAAATGGCTAAATCTATGGCTGAGATGTGAATATAGAAGATGAGCATGTAGATCCTTACAGAGCCAGAAAGTTAAAAAGTGCCGCACAAAAATCTCACAAATATGGGATATATCAAAAAGACACCAGAGCCAACTGAAAGAAGTCCAAAAAATGTACAAAGCTAAAATGTGCCTGAGCAACAAAGTTAATAAAGTAGCATTGAAACATAACCCAAAATATATAACCAATATCCATAAATGCATAATGATATAAATAAATGATCATATAAATACATAAATAGAGGAGAATGGGTACATCTTCTATTAAGAATTTCAAATATTCTATGCAGATGCCCCACACTCCAGGAGCAGAGCATTATCCTCCACTCCTTAGTGTGCACTGTACATGATGACTTCCTTCCACAGGGAACAGTATGGAGAGCAGTGGGCGGGGCCAGAGGGTAACTACAGTGGAAAAGCCTGACAAACACTACCTTAGAAACCTGTAACCCCAGAGTAATCATGAACA